TGATCTGCTGGGTTCAGGCGATTCTTCCACCTCAGCTTTCCAAGTAGCTGAAACCACAAGAGTGTGCTACCACGCCTGGCTAATTTTTTGATTTATTGTAAAGACAAGGTCTCATCATGTTGCCCAGGTTGGTCTTTAACTTCTGGGCTCAGGCAGTCCTCCTGCCTCAGCCTCCCAAGGTGCTGGGATTATAGGTGTGATCCATCGTGCCTGGCCCAATCCTACATTTTAATTGACTTCTATCATTAAGCTATACACACTCCCTGACTTGTGACGGCTTGGCTTACGTGTTTTCGGCTTTATGATGGTGTGATAGCAACACGCATTCAGTAGAAACAGCGCATTGAATTTGATCTTGTCTCAGGTTAGCGATATGTGCAGTGAAGTGCTCTCTGGCAATGGTGGGCAGCAGTGAGCCCCCAACACCCTATAGGGCGCTGGTTGGCTTGCCCACCTGCAGGTTGATGTAGGTGCTCTGAGTGTGCGTTGGGCAGGCTGGGCTGAGCTATGAAGTTCAGCAGGTTAGGCATATTAACTGCATTTTCCACTTACAATGTCTTCAATTTATGATGGTTTTATTCGATGTAACCACGTCCCAAGTTGAGGAACATCCGTGCTTGGGGATTTTTGTTGGAGAATCTTGATCAAGTGTTTTAGCAGCCAGTCCGAAGACATGTGGAATGCTAGTTCTATGAACCCGCCCAGCACTTCATTTCTTCCCGAGGGTCTTTCTAATCCCCCTCCCCAATGTCTTCCTCCCAGCTCCCTTAGACCACAAGAACTTCTGTGAAGGAGTTGGGGTGGGCCCCTCGGCAGCTGAATGTCCTACTCTTTCCCTAGCTTTTGTGGGAGTGCTATCAAAGGCAGGCAGAGTGAGACTTACAAACTAGCATTCTGTACTTTGGCTAGAATTTTCAATGAGCTCATGGCTTTGGGCCCAGGAAAGGGATTATTTCCCAGCTTCAGTATTTTGAAACACTAGATATCCCATTTCCTTACATGACTGTCTTGTAGATAAGCACTGCAGGACCCTCAGCACACTCAAGCAAGCCCTGTTATGCACTGCATCAAGTAACTCCTCCTGCCTGCTCTGGCCATGTTAGTGCAGGGCCCAGGGAAGTTTATCTTTGCCTCCAAGCCTCCATTCTGAGATGTACCTTCCCATCTCCGTAATAACAATGAGATGCAATTAGGATGCCATGCATAGTGGCTCACGTCTGACTTAGGGAGGCAAGATGGGAGGACTGCTTAAGGCCAGGAGTTCAAGACTATCCTGGGCAATAGAGACCCTGACTCTATTTAAAAAAAAAAAGAAAAAAGAAAAGAAAAATTAGCCAGGTGTGGTGGTGCATGCCTATAGTTCCAGTTACTCGGGAGGCTAAGGCAGGAAGATCACTTGAGCCCAGGAGGTTGAGGCTGTGGTGAGCCGTGATGGTGCCACTGCACTCCAGCCTGGGTGAGAAGGAAACCCTATTTCAAAAAAGACCAAAAAACAAAAAACAGAGAGATACAATTAGGATTCAGCTAGGCCAGATTTTCTTTTCATGCACACTCTCTTTATTGCAGGTGAGAAGCACCAGTCTTTAAAGAAATGCAAAATTTCTTTCAAGGGATTCGAATTATGGTAATCTCACTCCTCCAGTATGAGTGCTTGAGAACAAATGAGCCCTTGGCTCAAAATACCCACCTGAACTTGTCCAGAGCCATGAGCCTGGGACTCAGTGAGCCTTATCCCCCTGGGTGTCTCAGCCCTGGCATGCTGTCTTGCTTAGGTCACAGGGGAAGGACAGTCTTCCTTTGGAAATGTCTGTTTTTCTGACATGGTTGATTGGTAAGAATTTTTTTCAGTTAACTGTACGAAGCAACTTTACAGGCAGAAGATAAGGTTTTTTTGTTTTTTGAAGAATAAAGTTTGCAATGTCTGCACAGGACGGCAGAAAAAGCAATGTGATATTTGGAAATATGAGGACATATCATTTCTTTTGGGGCTGTTTGTGATGTCACTGCATCATTCCCTCAGTTCCAACTAGCACAAGTATAGCTCCAGGATCTCGCTGTCCTGAGTCCTGCAAACCTGATCAAGGAGACCGAGTAGATACCTCCTCCCACCCCATATTTTGTTGTCCAGATGTGACCTCTGCCCCAATACCTAGAAGTGACAATGACTACTGTCATGGGTGTGGAGTACTGCAGTTTTTCTTCTAGTGCTCATGTGGCTTTGAATCTAGTTTCCAAATAGGCAAGAATTAAAACAGAAAAGTACAAAGAGGGGTGACTAAGCAACCAAGTCTTCCCTGGAAGAGAAGAGGAAGACAGAGAGGTGAGTAACAGGTTTATTTGCATATACACAGGAGGGAGTGAACCGCTGCTGGGTGAGGAGGCAGGCTCTGAGGAGGTAAGGCTTCAGCAGAGGAAGGCACCTTGACAGACAGATAAGAGACTTGCTGCTCAGGAGGCCAAGCACAGTCACAAACTTCACTTGCCCAAGTCAACAACTCATGTAACTCATGTACCTGCTGTCCTAGAGAAGTATGTAAAAAACGAGGTGGAAAATAGAGAGAAAAATGATGTTACACATCTGGACCTGCCACTTAAAGTTTTATGTACAAGATGCAAAAAAAATGTAAGAGGCACTTCCCATTAGTTCTTAATCTACTAGGTGCCAGCTGTCCTGCTAGTAAAAAGATCTATCATGGGAGAAGTTAAGGATTAAATGTACCTCCAAAGTTGGGGCCTCAATGCTGCAAGAGTCTAGGCAGACGTCCCCTGGGAGTGGTTCTTGCTAGGTTTCCAGGCTCATGATCACAGTTCTTCGGAGGTGAGGGTGGAGCAGCTCCAGAAACAAGCATTGCTCTGCCAGCTCCTGAGTATCTCATGTACCTGTCTCCCAGTGAGCTGAGCCCAGGAGGTGGGGAAGTCTCTCCCAAGGATGACAGACAACCTCATTAAGGGATCTTCCTGGACTTCCAAAGCTAACCAGAATGAACTCTGACTTCTCTTTTGAGTAACAAATGAGACTGAGGCTTTTAACATGAAAAGATCAAGTTCTGCATTTGGGAACTGTAATTACCAAGTACCTAGTTCCCAAAGGAACTGTAACTACCTTTTCTTCAGGAAGATATGCGGATTGTCCTTAGAGAAGTCAGAAGAAGCTACCTGCCAATTCGACTAAACTAAAATAAAACAAGAGGGTCGGGTATGCTGACTAAGAAGGGAACGAGAAACACACACTGAGTGATTATATCTTTCGTATATAAAGGATTAAAAATTCCAATTTAATACAGTTTGGAAAAGCAAATGTAAAATGACTTGGGCTTATAAAACCAGAATTTACAATTCTCTGTGAATAGTCAAAGACAAACTATAGAACAATTTTGCTTACAAATTCCATGGAATTCCCATGCTGCTTACAGCATCACTGTCTTTGCCTATGAGTCATCGCTACACTGTGCATGTGCCCACCGCCCCATGCTCCTTCAACTCCTCCTCACAGAGTCTCACACCTCAGCCCATCACATGCACGGGCACATCCTCCCTTTGCCTTCGTAAAGCTGAGCAAGATGGCATATCCTTCTGGCTCACATCAACCCCTTCCTTTTATAAATAACCCTCCGCCCCAGTGCCCGAATTCCCCCAAGTCTTCTGCCTCCTCTCAGTCTCAGTTCTAGGAAGGTCCTCCTCTGACAGGAAGGCAGGGTCAACATGTCCTGTCCCCCTTGTGCCAGCCCCAGCTTGGATCCCGGTTGGCTGGCAACTTTGTGCTCAAGGAAGTCCCCGGTCCTCTCCCTAATTTCTCACCAGAATTCTGCCTTCTCATGATGTCCATGCCAAAAGACACCTGGCCATTCCCAGGACTTCCTGTCTTGCACAACCCCTCACCGATAACTGAGTGACTGTAACCACCACAGAAACACTTGGTTTTCAGCTACCTTTGTGAAGCCATCTCTTCTGGGACCCAGGAGTCTTAAACTGAGACTCCTTTCCTACAATTCTGCCTACTAACAGACCTACTGAACACGATCTGTCACCTCAAGATGTCTCCTGCTCTGCAAAGTCCAGTCAAAACCCCACAGCCTCTGCCAGCTGCAGCAAGAGAAGACAGCAGTTCCCTCAATTCTGACCCATGGTTTTGAGTTAAAAGAATGTAGTACCACATCTGCTCCTTACACTTCTTTAGAACATGTCTATGATATCCCTTTCAGTCACTGAGCACAAGGCTCTTGAGAATCATCTCTTTCCCTTCTCTCAGTATGCCTAGACTCCATCACACGGAGCCAAGGAAGCACCTGCTGGCCTCTGAGTGTCTCTTAGGACTAGCACCTAATTGGTTAAAGTGTGTTACCCATGACTAGTTGTATTTATGGCCTCCATACAGTACATGTTGGAGCAATGCTCAACTTGTAGACAGTGAAATTGATCAGGGATCTATGTTCTCTTGAATCTGATCTTAAGTGCTAACCTCTCATTAGCATTGAAAATGCTCCACTCTTAGTATGTCCACATTAAATGCTCAAAAGGAAGTGTTACTAGAGAAAACATGGAAGGTTTCTTTAAGAAAGGAACCATGCCCTCCACTCCAGCACAGCCCAAGGCCGAAGGCCTGCTTCCACTCTTCCCTCTGTTCTTCTGGCATCAATCTAAACTCACTGGCAGCACAATCTGATTTAACAGGCACCCAGGGTTCAGACCAGAACACCTATGGCATGTAAACAGGGTGAGATGGCAAAGATCCAGATCCACAGATCCTTTCTAATGGGCAACTAGAAGGTCTCAGGAGACAGTGTGTGCGCACATGCCCGGGGCACACATGAGGACAGCCCCCATCTTAATAGGATAACCTGCACAGAACCTTGCCAGGCACACTACACTCAGGTCTCACTAGAAAGGAGTCACTTGGGTTTTTTCCTTCCCTTTCTTAATACAGCACAAGCCAGTGGCCAGCTAGACATTCAGACCCATTTTTGAATGTTGGATAGAAGGGGGCAGCATCAAACACAAAATTTCAGGCCCTGGTTTTATGTGCCTTTTAATACTTGTTTTTTCTTTCCTGTGTGTTCACTAAACAGAATTTTTTTTTTTTGGTAAGGCTACTTTTTGTAGCTTTTTGTTTTCCCTTTGTATTTATCATGTTTTTAATTTCTTCTCTGAGGAGGAATTCTCTGAATCTGTATCTTCCAATTCAACTCGATGCCTTTTCAGGCCACTGTGGCCATGAACAGCTCTGCTGCTGTCTGTGGCTGGGGGGTCAGTGGGGTCCTCTCTCATTCCAGCACTGGGGGTCTCACAGGCCATTTCAGACCCACAACAATCTTTGTGTAGGAGTGTCCCCGTCAGGGACGAATGAGCACAGTCAGCGTCCACATGTCCTGGGGAAGAACAGGCCATTGCCTCCAGCTCCCCTAAGTTTTGCCCATTATTGTGAGGGTGAGAGGGGCGGGGGTGTAAGCGTCCATTGTTGTGGTTGGCACAGATGGTTTCGAGGCTCCTCTCTTCACTGTCATCAGACTGGGTCCGGGGACAGTTGCCAGACCCACTGTTGAGAGCGGAGCCAGATGCCTTGGGGACAGGAGGAGAAGGTGGCTCCTCAGCCCGACTGCTCAGGGCCTTTCCATTGAGCTTCTTGCTTTCAAAAGGGTGTTCTGCAGCAGCACCACTGCCGGTGTCCTGAGAAGTCCCCTCTGGCACCTCTGCCCAGGGATGGCTGCTATGCTCGTGGCCTGGGCCACTGCTGGAATTTCTAGAAGTCCCCTCTTTACAAGTGTCCTTGCTGCAACCTTCAGGAGGCAGATCCTGGTTCCTCTGGGTGCCTGCTGTATTTAGACAGGTGTCCTTACTGGAAGAAGGGGCTGGGTTGTCTTTGTGGCTGGTCCCCGCTCTCCCTTCATCTGACTCCCCTGTCACGAGGGAGGTCTCTCCATCTTTGTTATTTGAATAGGAGATGTAAGAGTAGCGGAGCCACTTGTAGGCTTTATAGATCTTTCGTTCAACCGATTCTATATCTGACGTTGGTGATGCCCGGCTCGGCTGAATCTCGAGAGTAGAAGTGCTGTGCTCGGGGGAGGAGGCAGGCGAGGAGGAGAGGTCATCCACTCTGATCTGGGGGTAGTCATAATTGTCTTCTCCGACGTAGGTGCTGGTGGGCTTGGCAGGGGCACTGGGCCTCTCTTCTCGAGGTGTCTTCTGACGGCGGCGCATGGCATTGCGCTGCCGGGTAGAGGCTCGCCGTTCATTCAGCTCCTCTTCGTCTTCTGAGCTGCTGGAGCTGCTGGAACTGCTGGACTCGTCTTCAGGGCTGGGTGACCGTGGCCGGGGAAAGAGGTCTGTGTCCAGCTCAACCTCACAGGTATTCTCTTCAGAATCAGACTCGTTGGAAAGGGCCAGGAGGCGCTTGTCCTGGTAGCGCCGCAGAGCAGACAGACGTTGCTGGCGAGCAGCTGCATCCTCACATGTGGGTGTTGGTGGAGCTGACGCCACAGCATTGGTAGCGGTAACCCGCAGGGGCCCCAGGTGGAAGGCGCTGTCAGCAGACTCCTCTACTGTGGGAGGTGGGGAGCGAGGCAGTGAGGCTGAAGACTCAGAGTCAGTGTAGCCTGAGCGCTCACTGACCCCGGCGTGCAGCTGCAGGATCGTGCTCTCGCTGAGGTCACTGTCGGAGTCAGAGCTCCAGCCTTCAATCTCTCGGCGCACCAGGGAGTCAAAGAAGGCCATCATCCGGGGGTCCTCCTGCACCGATTGGTTGGCATAGTCGTGTGACAGGCCACTCCCACTGTTAAGCACAAGGCTGATGTACTCTTCGTGGGTGTAGAGGCAGCGGGAATCATCCTCGATCCGACCGTCGAGGTCTCCGGTGCATCCTGGCTGCTTGTACGGGCTCCAGATCTGCTCAGAAGATGAAAAACACAAGCAACAAGGACTGATTGGAAGGTATTCTTGAGCTGGTAGAGGTAGAGAACACCAAGGCAGAGTCTCCCCAGACCCTCCCTGGCATTTAGCCAGGACTTGCTAGTCAATTTAAAAATACATGCGTAGCCGGGCTCGGTGGCTCAGCCTGTAATCCTGTGCCTTTGGGAGGCTGAGGTGAGTGGATTGCCTGAGCCCACGGGTTCGAGAACCCGCCTGGGCAGCGAGACCTCATCTCTACAATAAATCAAAAAATCAGCTGGGTGTGGTAGTGCATGCCTGCAATTCCGGCTACTTGGAAGGCTGAGGCGGAAGGATCGCCAGAGCCCAGCAGGTCGAGGCTGCGGTGACCAGGAGTGGCCACTGCACTCCAGTCTGGGCGACAGAGTGAGACTCCAACTCAAAAAAATAAATAAATAAAAATACATTATTTTTTTAAGAGACAGGGTCTTGCTCTGTCCCCCATGCTGAAGTGCAGTGGTGCAATCATGGTTCATTGCAGCCTCAAACTTCTAGGCTCAAACAATCCTCCCACTTCATCCTCCCAAGTAGCAGGAACTAAAGGAGCACACCACAGTGCCTGGCTCATTCTTTTGCAGAGAGGGGGTCTTGTTATTTTGCGCAGGCTGGTCTCAAATGCCTGATCTTAGTCTCCCACCTAGGCCTCCCAAAGTGCTGAGATTACAAGCATAAGCACCCATACCCAGCCTATAAAAATATGTTCTAGGCCTAGGATAATCACACACTTTCTCCCTTACAATCACCACCACCCCCACCCCGTCAGTTTTGTCTATTAGTAGCTTGGAAATTATAATCATAATTTCAGAGGATGGAGGATAACTTGGAGATTGGCCAATGTGTTAAAAATTCCTCAGAAGACTAAAGCTGTGCACAGAGAGGTACCCCTTTTCCAAAGTGAAAATAGACCCAGCAGTCATCCTCCATGACAGTTAGGATTCGGGTCTATAACCCTACTTCTCCCCAACTGCAACATTCCTATTTTTAACTAATGGGAATTGCTTACTGGAGCTTCTTAAGAATAGTCAACTGCCTACACTGCAGTTTCCTCTTGAACATGCAGGCATCAGTTACCCAGGAAACTGGCTTCTCTTAACCAGTGAGCTGCTGGCTTGCTTTTTAACTCTTCTGATAGCTGTAGGAGTAGGTAGGACACATCCCCCAAGGAGAGATGACTGCAGCCCCATCCCTAACACCACCCCTCCACTTCATGGTCAGGAGCATGGACTCATAGCTAAAAGGTGGCAGAACTAGAACTCAATCTCAAGTCTGTCTGATTCACAGGCTCAACTTTACAGGCTGGATAAGTTATGCAAAAATCAAGTTCAAGGTAATTAAGCTGTCACTGCAAATGAGAACGATTAGCTCCATCTGACTGCCAGACTGACTGGTCCACAGCAGCACAGAGCAGCTCAGCTACATTGGCCTGTAACCATGGCAACTCAGATGAAATTCCGGGCGATCTTCTTGCCTGACAGGCTGATGTCTATCTTTAGATGGCATTCAGTCCAGAAAACAGTGGCCCCTCATTTCCCATCCTCCACCAAGACCAAGGATTTGTTTCCCCAAAACTATCTAGGGATAAATTCACCTCCCTGTGGGAATTGTTCTGAGGCCCATTCCGGCCACGCTATACTTGGCAACTCCTGGGAGGTGGCACCTCTGTGGAGGACCCCCAGCTCTAAAGAGGCTGAAGAAACTTTCCAGATTAGCTTCTCTCCACCAATTCCCAACTCAGATTCATTCCCCCTTCGATGTTATTCCCCCCTCCAGCTTCCCAGTTTTACCCAGGAGAGTTTTAGGACAGTGGTTCTCACCCTCTGGAGTGCACCGAGGTGCCTGAAGAGCAATCGCGATGCCGAGTCCCTAGTCCCACTCAGAGATTCTGAGTCAGTGTATTATGGGGCAGCACCAGGACTATGTGTCTCTAACAACTACTCTAGGGTGAGTAAGGAGGTGGATCAACTTTTAGAAAACACTAGACTAGATTTAGCAGAAAATAAAGGATTTGTCTGAAGGGATCTTCCTATTTTTTGTGAGACTCAATGTTTGGGAAACATTTGCTTGTGGTCTACAGCATGAGGTCCGAGCTATAAATGACTACCTCTGCAACAGACATCTGGGGGGGGAGAATGTGGTAGTTTAGAAGGGAAGCTGAGGGTCCAAAGGGAAAGCCCTTGGGTGTTTCTTGGGTCTTATTCCTAATTCTGAGCCAAGCCCCTCACCTCCCCAGTTTGAAAATGGTAATATGTTATTAAGCAGGCTCCCTAATATGAAGATAAGTCTATTTGTGCTTCACAGAAACTCAGAATGTGTTAACCAAAGAGCAAAACTGCAATGGTGCGATGCAGGCCTAACTACTTGGCAGGCCAGTTTTCAGGTCCAGCCATGTGCCTACCCAGTCCCCACGCTTTCACCTCAGGAATGGAAATCATAACACTGAAAGGCAGTTTGTGTTTGCGCTCTGGAATGTATTACGCTGAGGTAGACTGTTCATTCCTGAAGCTTGGAGTAATGGAATAAAACACAGGATTGAGAGGAGACTTGAATGTGGGTTCCCACTCAGTGCCTTCATCCAAACAGTGAATTCAATGGGCTCATCTAATCTTAAGATTTGAGGCCAAAAAAAAACCCCACCTCAGACTGCCAGCCTCCAATCCTCAAGGGACACGCAAGAGGGGGCAGGAACTCCAGCCCGGTCATTTCTCGTGGCCTTGAGCCAATGACCTCACCCTTGAAACCTCTTTCTCACCTGTGGAAATGAGGATGATGAAATGACACAGCCAACAACGGAGCACCAATACACGTGACGCTTCTTCTCTCATGTGGCAACTCAATACCTCACCTAGAACATTTGAAACCTGCCCACAGAGAGACTTCTGAACACCAGAAATACGGACTATCCCTATTATCTTAGTTCTTATGCTTAAAACATCAATTCTAACCATTTGTAAAATTCTTCAGTTCTTTACATTGAAAGTCAACAACTCAGAAGTGAAGTCAAGAAGCAACTTCTTGTTATATGTTAAGTGTGGCTAGACATGCCTCCTCACAGGCCAAGTTCATGGAAAGGCAGGAAATGAACAGCTTCTCTCCAAGCCCACCAACAAGCTTGGCTCAAGGGGCTGTTGAGAAAAAGGACACACCTCAGAGATGGAGAGCAGTTAAGTGACAAGTGTTTGAGCTACATAAGTGACTATGACATGCTTGATGTAGCAACTTGAGGTCCTAGTGTCTCTCTGTGCTATTACCTCAAATTTGGAAATGTGCCCATCTCTGAGAGAATGACATCAATAAAGTCCTAATTGCTGTTCAAGGGCCCGCCATGGCCTCTAGTCCGCTTTCAAGAGCTCCAGGCCCACCTCTGGCCTGCTTCCTGGCCTGCTGCCCTAGTTCACCCTTCTCCTCTTCTTCACTTGGGCCAACACCATCATTTTCTAAATAGGTCCTGTCCTTTCCTGCTCTGACCATTAATTTATAAGCACAATGCCTGGCACACAGTAGGTGCTGAGTAAAATATTTGTTGATCTAATGAAATATCCATTTTCTCTACTTGGAATGTTCTTCCCATCTTGCTCCTTCCCTTCCTTTTGAAGTCATTATCTATCCTTCAAAACCTAGCTCAAATATTAACCCAGATGAGAAAACCCCTCTGTCTCCCACAGCACTTAGTCTCTTTTGTGTACCTAACTACATTTCCCACTATCTATGTTTACCACAAGGAGAGCTGTGTTACCTTTCTTCATCTTGTGTTCCCCACAGGACCTAGCACAGATACCTCACAGGTTTACCACAAACATAGGGTGAATCAACAAATATTATCTTTGAGAAAAAATGTCAGGATTTGCCCATCTCCCCACACTTCTAACACATTAAACTATAGAACACACCCCCTCTCTTGCAAAGTGTGGACATTTGGGGGTGGAAGACCGGCTATGGGTGAGAAGAGGCTGGCCCTGATGACAGGGCTTCTCCTCCAGCTGGAGAGGCGGGCAAAGGACAAGGACAGGGAGAAGGGCAAGTAGAAGGATGGTAGGCCAGAAAGGCAGGTCTAGGCTAGCCTGGAATATGGGAGTGATGCTCTTTGAGCCACTGATCTTCTCCAAAACAGCAAGTAGGAAAGCGACATTTATAAAAACAGAAATTGCCGGCACAGGGGGCAAGTCACTGCACAGGTGGGAGACAGACCCAAGGGTAGAGACGCCTTAACCTTTCAGGATGACAGGCACAGGTGAGGACAGTGATTCCAGCGGAAAGATGAGGCCAGACAGCACCTGGTCTCACCAATTCCTTTTCACCTCCCTTCCTGCAATGCTTGAATACCGTGTCATTCCCAACTAGACCAAGACTAGGGATGATACCTGTGAGACAGCAAAGGGCCTGAGAAGCCCAGGCTTGCTGCTTTCCCCGTCATTATGGTCATATATACAGACTTCAGATTTCAAATGAAATGTGCTAACAGTGCTCCTAGTGAAACAGGGCTCGGAGCCCATGGGAGCCTAGGAGAAAGTAAGCTTCATACTTCAGTGTGGAAAACATTTTCTTCTCTTTCTCCTCTGAATACTTGGCTAGTTTCCAATCTATGACCTTTAGGGTAAGGACTTCAGTTGACTCAACAATAAATGGGCAGACTTAGCACAGAAGCATCTGAGTGCATGCCAAACAGGAATTTCTCTTCTAAAGGAGATGCCCAAGCAGAGAGTCGCTGAGAAAGAATGATGCCAACAGGCCCAGAGAGGACACGTTACAGTGCCAAACAGTCATAGGCCAAAGGAGAAGGAGGAGCCATGTGAGGGCCAGGCCATTCAACGCCTGCCCAAGTGAAGCCCGAGTGAGAGGAGCTAGTCCGATAGGGCCTCAGGCTCCCACTGCCTTCCCACTAGCATGTCAAACGTGCCAGGGCACCAGGAGGAAAACAAGACAGGGTTCTATCCTAGTTTTACCACTAAGCAGCTGTGCGCCCTCAGACAGTTAATTTGTAATTTTAATCTTATCATCGATAAACAGAAAAGCCAGTAAAGATGATCTGTAAGGCCTGTTTTAACCCATGGAAAAATGTACTCAGTATGGGAGTTAGCCTTGACCCACAGGACCAGCAGGGACTAAATCAAGGGAGTTGGGCTAAGGGCAAATACAAATATTGACCCACAAGCCAGTTCTTTCTTTCCTTTCTTCCTTCTTTTCTTTCCTTCCTTCCTTTGCTTTTTTTCCTTTCCTTTCTCTTCCTTCCTTTCTTCCCTTCCCCCTTTCCTTTCCCTCCTTTCCTCTCTCTCTCTTTTTTTCTGAGTTGAAGTATCACTCTGTCACCCAGGTTAGAGTGTAGTGGCATGCTCACAGCCACCACAGCTTCGACCTGCTAGGCTCAGGCAATCCTTCTACCTCAGTCTTCCAAGTAGCTGGAACTATAGGTATGTGCTACCATGCTTGGCTTATTTTTTTGATTTATTGTAGAGATGAGGTCTCACCAAGTTGTCCAGGCTGGTCTCAAATCCCTGAGCTCAGGCAATCCTCTCACCTTAGCTTCCCAAAGTGCTGGGATTACAGGCTTGAGCCATTGTGTCCGGTTCCCGCTCTCTCTCTCTCTTTCTTTCAGGGTCTCACTATTGCCCAGGCTGGAGTGCAGTGTGGCACAATCATGGCTCACTGCAGCCTCGACCTCCTAGGCTCAAGCAATCCTTCCATCTCAGCCTCCTGAGCTGGACTATAGGTACATGCCATGATGCTTGGCTTATGATTCAATTTTTTAGAGATGAGGTATTGATATGCTGTCCAGGCTGATCTGAACTGGGATTATAGGCATGAGCCACTGTGCCTGGCAAGTTGTATATATCTGATAGCCTCCTCCTACCATCAAATACAACTTGATTTAGCTCTGGATATTTTTTGTTTTTCCCTCCGGAAACTCTCTCAGGTTTCCAAAGTCATTTTGAGACAAAAATTGAGGAATTTTAACCTTTGGCAGGAACATTATCTATCCATTCTTAAATGCTTTTATCACAGGGTCAAGAACCATCACTTATCCCGAATTCTCATTACCTCAGATGTGGAAAAAGTGTTACCAGCAACTGGAATATGAGTGATGGGCAGTGGGCCATCCTTTGTGGACACAGGCCAAGCTGGGTCCCTCTCTTGCAGTTATGAAAGTACTTCTTGGCAGAGGTGAGTTCATTCAACCAAGGTGCATCTGATGGCAGGTATTTAGTATTCACACCCAGCAGCCTTAATTACCACCACATGCAGTAGCTTTTTGGTAGCTCCTGAGACAATTTAACTATGATTCTGGCAATCACTTAGTTGTATCTGTGCCATATTAGGACAGCAATTACTATAAAGTACACACTAAGTAACTGAGGGGAGAGTGGCTCTCCTAACCTCCAGATAAGTTTGGAAAGCAGGATTCATCACACTCAAGATCAGAGGTCACTGGAAACATAGCAGCATACAAGATAGTACCTAGAAGACATCCTCTGTTTCAAAGCCTAGTGACAAGTTTAAAAAAATAGTTGTAAGCAGGGTGCAGAAATCTGTGAGATCCCATCTCTACCAAAAAGTTAAGAAACACTTGTTCTGAAAGTAGGGTTTTAGGCCGGGCTCGGTGGCTCAGCCTGTAATCCTACACTTTGGGAGGCCGAGGTGAGTGGATTGCCTGAGCCCACGGGTTCGAGACCCGCCTGGGCAACTTGGCGAGACCTCATCTCTACAATAAATCCAAAAATTAGCCAGGCGTGGTAGTGCTCGCCTGTAGTTCCAGCTACTTGGAAGGCTGAGTCAGAAGGATCATTGGAGCCCAGCAGGTCGAGGCTGTGGTGGCCAGGAGCGGCCACTGCACTCCAGTCTGGGTGACAGAGTGAGACTCCAACTCAAAAAAAAAAAAAAAAAAAAGAAAGTAGGGTTTTAAATCCCTTTTTTTTTCCTTAAGAGATGGTGTCTTGGCCGGGCATGGTGGCTCACACCTATAATCCCAGCACTTTGGGAGGCCAAGGTGAAAGGACTGCCTGAGCCCACAGGTTCAAGACCAGCCTGGGTAACCTGGCAAGACCTCATCTCTACAATAAACCAAAAATTAGCTGGATGTGGTGGCACATGCCTATAATTCCAGCTACTTGGAAGGCTGAGGCAGAAGGATCACCTGAGCTCCACAGGTTGAGCCTGAGGTGGTCATGAGCATGCCACTGCACTCTATTCTGGGTGACAATGAGACTCCAACTCAAAAAAAAAAAAAAAAAAAGAGATATGGTGTCTCATTAACTTGCCCATGCTGGCCTCAAACTCCTGTGTTCAAGCAATCCTTCCACCTCAGTATCTTGAGTAGTGGGACTACACAGGTGCCACCAGCATGCCTGGCATCACTTTTTAATATCAACTTTCTAATATTTTATAAGCTGCCAAAATCTGAAACTTCTGACAGAACTTTAGTATGTTTAGATGTGAGGTCCTACATAACTTATTCTATTTTCTTCTAATTATAAATTGTAATAATTTCTCTAAAAGGACAGAGGGGGAGGTTGCCTCACCTTGATAATTTTTTCTACACCAGAAGAGCAGATCATGTAGGTGTGGGGATTAAATCGAACCTGGTTAACAATAGATCGATGCCCTTTCAGCACCATGAAGGCTCCGTTGACCACCCTACCAATGCCACCTGGGAAGACAAAAGGAAACAAAAATCAAATAATGAAATGGATGAAAGTAAATAGGTTCCAGTGATGGCAGATAAACAGCTCTGAACAGGACTGAGGTTTTTTTTTTTTTTTTTTTTTTTTTTATTAACTATACCACCAACAGCATGCTTAATCTTCAGATAAAGTTGCTATGGAAAGAGAGATCAAATACCTCTCAGCACATGTGCTCTTCCAAGAGCCTTTATTTAGCCTTTCAGCACTACCCACATTCACCCACTACAATTCCATTGTCAATGAAACCAAAGTCACTTAAAATATTTCTCAAGTTTTTGATACCCGAGATAGAATCCAAGTGTTACTTTAGAAGAGGCTAATCATGAACAAAATGAGACTGAACTTGGGAACTATTAGGCAGCTGAGTCAGGGCTATGCAGAACCAGAAGTATCTCATGATGCAAATGCACAAAAAACACTCCTGAGACATTTGCCCTCAATTTCTATGAAGAAGAGAGCAATAAAACAAAACAACCCCCATCCCCAATCAAAAGATAAAACTGCCCGGAAAACAATGGAGAGAATTCTTTTTCCCCCCCTCAGCAGGAAGAACTAAGGAAAAAGAAAGAAGAGTTGGATAATGATCTTCAGAATAAGCAGGGCCCAAGTACTGAGAATTCAAATTAGAGAAGGAAGGTTAAGATACTATGTGTGGATTGAAGTAGAGAAGCCACTGATAGAAAGCTGTATTTTAAGAACCATCCTGCAGGCTTCGTTCTTCAGTGAATGAGAAAAATACCAGAGGCCTGGAACTGATAACATAGGTAAAGATGTCATCATCTGCAAACTTGGGATAAATTTAAAGACTTGACTAGTAATGGTACCACTCCCATACAGAACACATGCACCCACATGCATATCTCTTCTGAGCAACCATTAACAGCTCAGTACACACAGGGAAATGTGTGCCCCTGGTTAACTGGCAAAATGTGATACAACCAGATAAAAACAAAAGAGTGCTCCTTTACCTACCCAAGGAATACCTTCTTTGTCCCCATCAGGGCATGGCACCACTGGGCCACACAAAAGTCCCATCCACGTGGTGCTTCATCCTACTCCTAACTCTACCCTGTTCAAATATTCACGCAAAACAGTTCTCACTGGCTCAGTGTCTAGAGGGAAAATGACTGGAACAATGTTCCTTCTCAAGAAATAATCATATTCTAGAGGTGTCTTCTTGCTTCTGGCCTCCTGACACAACTTTTGTTTCATGAAAGAAACCCTTCTTTATTGCCATATATATATCTTTTAAATGACAGCAGAAGGTTTCACACTGAAGCAATCTGCTCCTTACCGGTGCCAACTTAGCCAGTTCTAGGTACTTATGCTATTTGGTGGGTGACAAAAAAGTCCTTTGCCTCAATTTCCCCCAACATCTGACATTAGTAGTATTTGAATTCTCCAGGACGGATAATAACATTTAAAGCTATTCATGTTATAGCCCAACATCAAGTTTGCTAGTAAAACAAAAGGAGAAGAGAGGGCCTAGGATCCAGGATTGGGGGTTTTTAATGAAGAGGACTGGGAAAGGTCACACACTAAGGTAGACTGTCAGATTGGGAACCCCTAGGAGACATGAGTGCACTAGGCTCCCAGGGTGGGTGGGAGGAAGGGACTGTGACCTGGGCCTAGTTAAACTAAAAATAAACTTGAGGGAGTTAGGGAAGAGGGCCCCATAGGAATCCAAGGAACTTAAAACAATCGTCTCGACAGGGCTCTTCCCATACCCAAGAAGTTCCTTTGGGTCTATTTCTTTTCTAGATAAGGTTGATTATGATAAGCAGCATTCCTGCTCATGGGTCTCCTCTGAATTCTAATTTTTTCTTTTAAATTTAGAAAGCAGGATTTATTGAGAGGACAGAAAAGCTCCCATAGCAGGAGGGGACCAGAGGGGGTTGTCTGAACTCTACTTTTCTTTTTTTTTTGAGTTGGAGTCTCACGCTGTCGCCCAGACTGGAGCGCAGTGGCCGCTCCTGGCCACCGCAGCCTTGACCTGCTGGGCTCTGGCGATTCTTCCGCCTCAGCCTTCCAAGTAGCTGGAACTAAAGGCGCGCGCTACCACGCCCGGCTAATTTTTGATTTATTGTAGAGATGAGGTCTCGCCAAGTTGCCCAGGCGGGTCTCGAACCCGCGGGCTCAGGCAATCCACTCACCTCAGCCTCCCAAAGGCGCAGGATTACAGGCTGAACCACCGAACCCGGCCTGAACTCTACTTTTCTAACATCCTACTCCTAACCCCTGCTTCCAGTGGAGTGGTCACTAGCAAACAAACTGCATTAAACCTAGTACCAATCTCTTGTTTAATCATACTGCTTTCAGAAGAAGGAACTTAAATGACTCAGAAAATGTAAGTGACTTATCTCAAGTCATACAGCTAATAAATGGAAGAGCCGGGATTGGAACCAGAGTCTGTTTGGCTACAATGCCTAATACGCTTTCCACTGTATCAGCTGTCTTTAAGAGATGGAAGGGTTTGAATAGGAATGGAGTTAGCAGCTTATAACTGATTTCTAAATCTTTCTGGCAGTTATCAAATAGGTTGGCTTTCTTTAGAAGTCCTAAAAGCAAAGGAGTAAACACTCTATCTGATGGTATCTTGGCACAAGCTCTGTAATATCACCATAAGACATTTCATCACGCTGCCAACACTAAACGCTCAGAGCAGAACTGGGTCTGTCTTACTGAACCTGGCATGCAACAACTCAAGTGCACAGGTACACAGTAAGCACCTGCTGCATGGATACTGTTTGAGGAGAGAGCAATTTTAGAATAAGGACCATCAAAAGTGGGCAGATGAAGGGTCTTACATCTTAAAAGAATCAGTTACCATAGAACAAAAGTCAACCAAACCAATCTTTCTGACTTGGAATACAATTACAATAACTTTCATATTTAAACAGTAATCGAAGGGTATTAATATCTGAAAAATTCAGACCATGGACAAATTTTCTATTGCTCTTTCATGCAGGATGACCTCATTTGGTTTCTCTTCTTGGTAGCAATTTTAACACAAGATTTTTTGCTCCTTCTTCCCACCCAAGTTGGTACTTAGGAAATCTGAAAAAGAGGATGAAGTTAATTAAGCCAAGAGGTTGATGGTGAAAACAGGTGCAGGAAGAATCAGTGCTGCTGTTTGCCTAAGGTACCCAAGGCTGTGTACACAGAACCATAGCAATGGATAGGCTTCTGAGAGGTTCCTTGCAGCATTTTTCCTGGTTCCCAGGTTTCACATGATTGAATACAGCTGTCATCGTACAGTTTATATACAAAGGTTTTTTTGAGAATAAAATTTTATTAGTCCTGAAAATGTGTATAAACCAGATAGTTTCTCTCCTTTAGTCTGAAATAGCTAAAGTCAGAAAGAACCCGGATCTCCTTTCCTCTACTCCGTAGCCAGACCCTGCTGGTCAACAGCACAATTCAACTGGAAGGAGTTCGGCAGGGAATATTTTTCCCCAAGAACTATATAGCTTTCATAACCTCCTCAAGTCATCTCTAAGACAGGGTGAGGGCTAGGTAAGGATCAACTTCACCTCACACTTGTCAAGCTAACTCACAATATAGTCACTGATAATGGGTGCCAGTGAATAAGACAGAGCATACCTAGGAAAGGGTCCAGCTCCCCCTCAAGTTGCTATCTGCTGATACAGCTCTATACAAACCAACAGTCTTTTCTCAGACCATCTGTTCAGGCTGGCTTAGACAAACATGCTGGCATGCTTTGTAGGTTTCGTTCATAAGTTGAGACCAAAGTTCCCACATATCCATCTTTCATTGGTTTAGAAGAAATGCTAGGAGGGTGGAGAGGGCTACAAATCCCCTCATCTATTCTACTGCAAGACCTCAGAAAAGAATATGGGAACAGGGCACCTCACAGAATCCCAGCATCAGTGATTCACCCACTACCTTAGAAGATCCTAGCATCCCAGAAAACACATACAACTCAGAGAAAACACCTTGCTCAGAAACCAGATCAAGATCTTTCTAAAATGCCAAATGTCCTCCAGAGAAGACATGGGAAGTGTTTGGTCCCAATTTCCTGCCCCATCTTCACTTATGTTCCTCTTCTTACAGTATCCAGCCAGGAGCTTCTACCCGCAGGCCTCTTAAGAATCAGAACACGACTCCCATTTCTAGTCAACTTCAGCCATTTCTGTTTCTTCTCAAGTTCTTTCATTTCACAAAGTCCTCCAAAAATGACTATGTTGCTGAAAGCAACATGGTCAAGATTTCCTGATGCCTTGGTCTAATAGCGACTTATCTATCAATTATGCTACGAAGTGGTCCATAATGGCATTTGGGAGGATAAACCAAGCCATGTAAGTATTCTGCACTGAAATCAATCCCAAGTACAATCTGGACAAAATACCAGGATTCATTTCTTTGTCAGTCTTTTGATTGTTCTTCCTTTCCTAGTAACTCATTAAAGTCATGTATTGCAAAATGATGTTTCAGTCAATGATGATGGTCCTATAAAATCATAACACTGTATTTTTAGTATACCTTTTCTATGTTTAGATACACAACTACTTACCACTGTGACACAACTGCCTGCAGTATTCAGCACAGTTATACAGCATAGGTCTATAGTAGAAGAGCAATCGACTATCCCATACAGCCTAGGGGTGCAGGAGGCTATATCATCTTGCTTTGTGTAAGTGCCCTCGTGATGTTTATACTACGTCAAAATCACCCAGCTACACACTTTTCAAAATGCATCCTTGTCATTTAAGTGATGTATGATTATAATTAATGGGTGGAAAAAACACCTTTGTAAGAATGGAAAGAAGAAATTAAGCATGAAAGTAGTAGTGAGGAACCTGGATCAGGGACCAGATGACTGGAAGAGGCTGATGGAAAACAAAAAAATTAAGATAGCAGAAGACAAAATATGTAACAGAGTACTGCCCTTCGTGAAGAGGGAAATAACCTTTATCTTCCAAGATTTAGATACTGACATATTCAG